AATGTTACGTACGAACTTGTAAGATTCGATGGTACCACATGACACAACTCGCGTTCACGCGGATCGAGGATAATTCTAAATAAATTGCGTATGTCGTCCGTCCGTAGGATGGAATCACGACCGCCGCACGCCGAGGGGTTCGACTGGAATTCTAAAACGGTCGACGAGAGTCCTGTCGTCGCTCGAATACCATAAACGACGCGATGGCCGATTTGATATTGCGATGCACGTACGCGCAAAGACAAATCGTCGTATGCGTGTTCGCGCCAAGAAAGAAAAAGGTACTGCCGCTGAAACGAGAGGGCTGACGCAGTGTTGATGCGTCTTAAGTTAATGCACCTGAGATACCGCCAAGAATTGGTGCATCGGAAACGATGTATTTCAAGACAACTTTTAGACGCGCGTTAGCTATGCGCGTTAGCAAATTAACAATATACTATAAATATTCCTAGTAACAAGAATGATTTTTTTATTTCTTGTACCAGCTTGTGACAAATACATGCGGAGATGAAAAATGAATAGCTAACGTTTAGCCGTGATACCAAAACGCGCGCAATCGTAAATATAATTTGCCGTATTAGTGCATGCTGTTGCACATGTGTAACCGACAATGGTCGACGTTGAAGGAAAAACGGTGAGACAACGTTGTCACATTAAAGCATCTTGAAACGGTGCCGAGAGGGAATTATTAGCGTGGGATCTATCGCACACCGGCCCGAGAGGGAAACACCGTTACGAAGACGCGTGTAATCCAGCCGGCCCGGTCGAAACATTCCAAGAATGTATTGTGTGCGAATAAATATCTACTTCCAGTCATCTCTACTAACAGACGAATCGACAGGTGTTTATCGTTTGAATTTCAGAAATAGAAAAAGGTTATTTTGCGAAAAATTTCCCTTTCACACAGATGTCTCATAGTGTAAATTGGAGATTGATTTGTTACAATTACTTGACCTACTACACATTCAGTACTCGCTAATTAAGTGAGCGCATACGTAAACAGCAGGATTAAGTGCGAGAAAATGATACCGAGGCGATGAAATCCGTGTACTTGTACGAGTCGGTTATACACAGCTAATTAATGCTTTCCACCGACATGCTTGAGGCGGGCACAAATCAAAAACATACCGAGTATTCATGGTACTCGTGTATCACGAAACTTGCTCCTTACTTCGATTAACCCTTCCATCATCGGGACCACCCGTTTTGGCCTGCTCTTCCTATTAACGTGTCGGCCGCGTAACTTTTTCTGCAACATCGCGAGCGCTTATTCTTTTTATTTGTTTTTTATTCGTATTTACTCGTTACTGTTAAAGAGGGCATGTCCGATGTAACTGTAAAATGAAAATATTATCAAGTAAAAATGGTAACACAAATCGCAATGGTTGGCACATATGACAACCCGTTTGGAAATTATTACGACCAAGAATGTAAAAGCAGGTATACGAGTGCTGTTTAATAAAATCACGCAAGTCTTGAGAGCCTGTAAAAATTCCATTTTAGTCATATCACGAAAGCTTTTATTGCATTTTCTAGTCAAAGTTTATTGCCCCACAAATCAGAAGTGTTCATCAAATAATACATTTCTCTAGTAAAATGTACAATCTTTTTAAATTACGAACGATAAAATCCGATCCGTTAAAGTTTGTCTTTTAATATGTATAACACTCAAGTTGTATGTAATTAACATTGCGAAACGAAAAATAGTCTCCTAATCGTATACGAATCTCAATCGGCATCGTATCAAGTGTATAGCCGCCAAATCTCATAAGTTTCAATATAAATTTCTCCTAAATCGAATTTAAAATTAAGTATTCATTACAAAGTTCACTCTTATATCGTTTTGCATTTTGAAAGGATAATTAATTTCGCGACGTTCTTAATTGTTAACACCTTTTAACGATAAATGTGTTGCGTACACTCTGTCCATTTGGTTTCTCGATGCGTGTCGTCAAACGACCCAGTCGAGGATCGTTCCGGTACAACAATCGGAAGCTACGAGTCATTAAACAGTCGGTGCTAATTGTTTGATATTCGCTAGAACATAAATCAAGATCGAAACGTGTAGACATTAATTTGTATGGGCGCTGGTCAACCGCAGTAATTACATATTCGCAACAATCGCAACAACCCGAGCGTCACGATCGGATATTTGCGAATATTATCGGCGCTTAAACATTGTCCATAATCCATGTTGTGCCACTTAAACGAGCAACATACTGCAGTTAACTTGATTTTAATTAAAGTGGTAATACATGCCTTCATCGCGGTCTTAACGACCGGCTGTCTCTGCTTCCTTCTTTTAATTCATCTCCCACAGCCAGTGGGATTACAATTGACACCGTGACACTGCACCCTCGTTTTGAATTATGAGACTCGGAGCGAACGTCCTCTTTCAAGCAACAGCGCCAACGGGATTTCTCTTGGGATAGGTTCAGACAGAAATTTCTTAAAAATGTTAATCTTTCTCTATACCACAAAGTCATTGTTTGGAACCATTCATTTTTCATCTCAGTAACTTGTTTATTTTATTTTTTATTTCATTAAAAATTTCCACAAGTGTACATACACATGGGGAAGAGCAACTAGACTTTTTGCTGCTGTTCCATGTGTATAAAATAATTTCTCCTGTCTCAGAATCAAGCACGGCAAAATGATAGCTATGCCAATCGAAAACATATTTGTCCGCTTTCAATGGAATGACTAAAAGAAAGAATTAAGATTCACTGACGATCCACTAATTCATTCGGCCGGAACATCTTACCATTCATTACGGTCGTCAAAAACTTGATTACTTGGGTGGTCACACATAAGTACGAGATGTTATTTGCAAGGGCAGAACATTCGACACACCGTTCGTCCAATAATCGGCCAGTCTAAAGCCCATATTAGACTACGGATTGAGATTGAGATTAGATTGAAATTTCACCAATCGGTGTAAAAGTCACTAAACTTGAGGTTGGTAAACTTTACTCCGATTAGTCAAATTTCAGTCTAATTTCAATATCAATCCGTCTGATGCGGGCTTAAAGCGATCGCTGTCAATATTGGAAGTATTGGTGCAGCGATGCGTTTAATCCGGCAAAAACGATCGGCAGACTTAACGAGTCGCGAACAGCCTTGAAATCGGAATTTACTCATGCTATCCCTGTCCTGTCGCGACGATCATCGTACGTCGCTCATGCTCTCGCTGTAATCTTGAGATTCATTATGGAATGCCGAGATAAATCCTTTTAAAATGAGATTAAAACACCAGCCTAATGTAACTTATAATCCTTATAAAAAACTGTTTAGCATACGTATAATAATGCAAATACAGTTCATTGCGGATATAGATAAGATAATAAAAGATCGATTGCTTTAGTGACAAATTAATATTAATTGTATCGTAAAATCGTTAAGGGATTTCTTTGCATAATACTGGTTAAACTGCTCACAGTTTTGTCGTATTGTTAGAGAAATCGAAGCAATACTACTCTTATAGATTCATTAGTGATTTCTCACTTAATCGTGGCGATGATCCGTCTGTATGCTTTTTCTTATGTCTTTTCGTTTCATATACAAAAGAAAAAGTATAATTGCAAACCAGTTACAAGGATGATTGTTTCAAAATTTTTCTACGATACATAATTCCGGAGCAACATTCTTATTATGTAAGAATAATTTGGACATCATTGGGTTCCAATCAACAACTGTGTAAACACACGTGAATGGTGTGTAAAGCGAGAGATTGCTACGCTACTGTCACTCTGTGCGTGACATTGATATTTCCCATTCATAACTACGGTTATCTCTGTGTCCATTACAATCGCGACCGCGATTACACAGCGATATTCTCGATAGCGAAACGCGTTACGATCCCACGTCGCATCTGTTATCTATGGGTCAATTACATAGACTGCGATGTGTCTTTTGTGCCGACGTACCGTTATAATGGTTGTATCCCTCGATAACAGCATTATTCCGATAACCGTAAAAATCCACCGTGAAAAAGTCCAATTAAGCGGATTACCTCAAAGGATTTCATCCAAGAATTTTTGTTCCTCTTACGTTGACGCTAAAGTGAAATTGCTTTCTAGAAAATTTTTTTCTAAAATCTAGGTATCCGTGTTTCAAAAGAAAACAAATATGACATATATATGTACATGAAATAAAGATCGAAGACGCTTAGATAAATTTCTAAACGGCAGAAATGACGTCGGTGTTAACGTCTCGTTAGCGTAATAGTGTCGTCACAGTTATTACAGTCGCATTCCAAATTACAGGTTGTAAATATTAATGAGAAGAAAAGTGCACGTGTCGCTAATTATTAGTATATCATGCTACGTGCAAATGGACGCAAGTGAAGGACATTGCGCGACAGAATACTAGAGACATTTATTGAATTTCTCGTCATCGTCAGGTCAATTACGCGCGAGCCATACGTTAGAATTAAGTTGTCTCGACGAATATATACCGTTAATATCGACTTTCACCGGTTGTGGCCTATATATCGTCGCGGTAATCTCGAAATTGATTTAAAGCGATAACAAAAGGTAAAATTCGCCGCGTATGGGAAACCAAAGCGAGGCAAAGCAAAGAAAAGTGATTTAGCGCTTACTATTTGAATAGATATCTATACAAGATATATTGTCACGCTCGGCATTCACACGTAGGTATCGCACACAGATAACAACGCCATTTGATCGTTCGCTCCAATTTTTCGCAAGAGTTTATTGCCGTTTCCTTGTAATTTCGCACTATGCCGCGTTATCCTAATTTTCACGAGCGTTGATATATTTCAAAGTCCATAATCATGATTTCTCCCGGCAAATCAATTTTGTGCTCGAGACCTCCTTGGGATTCGAAGCGCAGCCTGCCAGACGGTGCCCGGTTAATTTGCTCGCTAGACCATGGTGGTCGGATAAATTAAAATAGATCCGGTTTCAAGTGTAACATCGCGCGCGCACAACGGTGAAATTAATGCGGACTAATGCGAGGCAGTGCGTTTGTCTTTGCAGGGCAGGACGGTGTTTCGTCGCGAGAGGCTGGGACCTCCAGGATGCCAGGGGTGTGGAAGTTGCTACGTACGCTGATCTATATGGTGAGTGTACAGCGCCGATTTGCCGACTTTGAATCCACTTTGAATCGGTGCCAAGCTCTTTTGCGAATCGAGTAGAGGTCTAACGATTATACCGATTTTCAGGCGACGCGTCAAAACGCTTCGATTACCAATACATGTAATAGCATTACCAAGGTTCGCTGTCTCAATAACGAGATAGGGGGCACAAACAGCGCGGTGTGCCCAAGCGGGGTCGACATTACGTTACGAGACTCACACGAAACTCGTGACTTGCGTTTCGTCCCGCGCGTCTTCTAGCGGTTTTCTTTTGTCGGTCAATTAGGCCCTAGAGCCGTGCGCGCTAGCGATCGTCCGAGCACCCGACCACCGCGAGCCGCGCCGATTCCGCGATAATGGGCCATCGTTTCGAGTGTATTTGGCTCTACGCCCCATTAGCGCCCTAGATCCTATAATAATCAACGAATAACGTACATCAAACGAGTTACTCGTTGGCGTAATAGTCGTTTGACCGCCTAATAACCGGGGTACCGTTTTTAGCGAGCCGACAGGTAGCTCTAGACCGGCGCGGCGGGAATTGGCGTTTCCATTTAGATGACAATGCGATGACGCGGCGCGGCTCGCCGGGAGCCGCCGCGACAGCTTGCAAGCGGATATTCGTGCCTACTCTAGGTACCGTTACGTCTCGCCAAGGCCCCTCTCCGCCCGCTCCCATTCTCCTCATTCCTTCTCACGTTATTCAGAACTCCACGTGAAGACATGGGTCTCGCCCAGAAGCAGACGAGATTAGGATCTACAACTTCGGAAAGAGCGGTAAAATGGAATGTTACGAGCGCGGAGCTTGCGAAGCTTTGATACACAACCGTGGGCCGCGGTCCACGTTATCGAAAATAAGCCTTAGCGCGGAGAGGGAGATTTTACCACTGATTACATTACCGTAATACGAATCCCCCAAAGGATTGAGGAAGGTCAGTAAAATCGGTCGTAAAACTCTCCGTTCGCGCCGACCCCAATCTCCTCCGTCTTACGATCGGCACACGCGAGAACGCGCGCGGCACCGAGGCAGCTATTTCCGCTGTCACGAGCACAATTGACTATTCGCAGACGGGCATTAGTATTCGAACGCCACCGGTGCCGCGATGGGAAACTCACCTACCAATGTGCCTCACGTTCGAGTACCTTGAAATACCGATGCGCACGAGGTCATAACCAAGTCCCGGTAAGTCGTAAACCGCATCTTTTACTTGCGCCGTAGGCACACAGCGCCCACGTGCTGTGTAACATCAATATTATTTTTCCTCCTTTTTAAGAGCAAACAAAGATCTCGTTCTCTCTTTAAACGAGAGCTAAATCGCTGACGATCGAGTACCGGAGATAAAGATAAATAGAAATACCGGTCTCTCCCCGGCGCACGTAATCTTGGCAAATCATCGGCCTAGCGGGTAGAGAGATAATCGCGGAGGGTAGGGGTAATTCTGACTGAATGAGTCAATGATCGCGCCGCACTCGACAAAAAGGGTACGCGCCGCGCGTACCCGCGTCCGCCAGGTGCGTAATCATTTCTAATGAAACGTTGTCATTTAACAGTGCGATTGTAAGAGCGTAGAAACGTGTTTTCACTTGCGCGAAAAACGCCGACCGTTAATGCAGCGGTAAAGACGCTTCTCCCGTTACGGCGATACCGCGCTCGCCCGTTCACGTCTACCATTTTCTCAGACCACGAGCAGAAGCTCGTGTGTCTACGGCATCCCTTAACTTCCAGAAGCGTTTTCGACCGGAGACACGCGGACGCGTCCTCGTCGACGGCGTCGCGATATTCGCCATTACTTACCCAGGGACAAATTTTCCTTCTATCAGCGAGATCGGTGTAATTGAAATCAAAATCGTTGAAACAACGTCGGTACTAACGAATCAAAAGTTGTCTTAATAATCTGGATATTTAGTTGAGCGCTTCAAATTACAATCCATAGCAAATATATGTTTGTGACAGCCCGTGACGCCAACGTTTAATTCGAGCAACTTGACGTTTGTTTAATTCAACAGCATTTTTTCCCCATGCGGTATCGGTATTGCGTAATGTGCGATAAACTCTCGTTTATTCGCACGTAAATATAGAAAAGGTCTATCGAGTATTTCGATAGCGCACACAAATTCTGGAAGCAGATTCAATAGACCAGCTGGTCTACTTTTTAACTTTTATTATAATGGTAATAAAATTAATCTTGACAAAGTACTAGCAAAGCCTGAAAGATACGCGAACATACATAGATTTATTACTGTAATAATTCATCGTAACGAGATCGCAACGCGGTTAATTTACCAAGTTTGCATTTATCTTTTATTGCACGCCTTTCATTATAACCCGGGAAAAATGGAAATTTCTTATTATATGTATATGTCTCAATCATGGGAAGTTACAAAAGAACGTGTTAATATGTGTATCTCTTTTTAGTCTTTAAACTTTCATTCTACATTATTGTATGGAAATAAGGCCGACGATATGGCGATTAATTGAATTAAAATAATCAATTATTAAAGTAATAAATAGCAAAAGTAATAGTAAATTTAATTATGGTAATCGAGTGTCGTCGAGCCGTTCAATTCATTAGGCACATCGCCGTGAAAACCAGTTTGGCGCAGTAACTAAAACAGCGATACTTTTGTAATCTCGGTAAACATTACACGGGACTAAAATAATGGCGTTTGCAATTACCCGCGTTCAGTGCAGGAAGTAAGAAGGAAAATGCGAGATAAAAGCCGTATGTGTGTCGTGATTAATTTGAGATAGACGTGCCGCTCTTGTCGCGCGACTCGTGCCTCGTGATTACCTCGTATACCAGCATTAACGGCGAGGCAAAAGGTACACGCGGGATCGTCAGTTCCGATTGAGCATGAGAGGTATTTATGACTAAATCGTATGGATTATCTTGGGTCTAATGGACGGGCGGTGCGAAAATACACGGGTACTTGGGTTTTCATTACAGTCCCATCCTCGTAGGAAACTTCTCTAAACGCACTGCGTGCAAAAAAGGACTCGTTACGAGTACGGTAATGAACTTGATTTATAGCTAATCATTTTCAACGTGGACGTATCAGGGACGATGTTTCAATTAGACTCAACTAAAAACTTTTCTCTCTCTCTCCCTCTCTTATTTCTTGGGATAATTTGATACAATTGTACTGTGTCAAGATAATCATTCTACTTATTGACAATTTATTAAATATTTCTTTCAATTACGAATACCACGGACATTGGATGTTGATCAAGTTGCGAAAGTGAAAAATAACAAAGCTTAGCATCTTACTTATAATGTTCGTGACGTACGCATGGTCTCGGTCGAATATTTTTGTCAAGTATCAAACAATCTTGGCGTACTTTCCTTGCCGACTGAATGACCTTCCTGTGAACTTAACCGCAGAGTAATTTTCTTGTACCGCGAGGAAAGTAGGATCGACAACCGATCCTTACCGTTTTACGTGCGTAACTTTGAAGCCACGTACATACATACCTGTCGGACAATGAGCGGGAAGCGAAGGGATAGCAGAAATGAAGAAGGAGAGAGAAGAAAGGTCACGTGGATTGAAAAGAGAGACGTACGTAATATTTTTTGAATGCGCAGGTGGTTGGCTTGAGGAGCGTCAGTAGCAACAGCGACATTTGGCCGCTGGAGAGGCCAGAGGGCATGCCGGCCATCCAGTCTTTGGAGGTGATGTGCGGAAAAGATCATATGGACGTCCATCTCTCATTCTCGCAACCCTTCGAAGGCATCGTCTCGTCCAAAGGCCAACACGCGGACCCACGTTGCATCTACGTTCCACCGTCCACCGGACAAACCTTCTTTTCCTTTCGGATAGCTTACGCGAGGTAAGTGCGCGAGACCGAGCGAAAAGTACACTTGTATGAATATGTACCAGCCGTATATTTTTCTTTCTCTCCAGATGTGGTACGAAACCGGACATGCACGGGCAATTTTACGAGAACACCGTGGTGGTTCAGTACGATAAAGATTTACTCGAGGTTTGGGACGAGGCTAAACGATTGCGATGCGAGTGGTTCAACGATTACGAGAAGACCGCATCGAAGCCACCGATGGTTATCGCGGACCTCGACGTGATACAGCTGGACTTTAGAGGTACGGGCACCTTACGCTCTCGTGAAATATCATTTCTCAATGGAGATAATTCATCGGCATACATTCTCCGAATTCCCGTGGGCTACCGGGCAACTACCGGGCAACTACCGGGCAACTACCGCGCAACTACCGCGCGCGATGTCCGCGTCCCGCAAGAAACTCTCCTTCGATTGCCATCTGTTACTGTAAACAATCTTAAAGCAGATAGAGTCACGCGCTCTCCAAGAGTTTCAAGTTTTTCTCAAATTATTGCGGTCAAATATCCGAGTAAATGCGCGACGTTCCGCAATGTCATTTTCTATTAAAACGGCACGTATGAATATTCGACTTTTGAACGTGTGTTACGAGGGATAGATAGCGGTACATTTAATGCGCGTAAACATATCGCGAGATACACACTGCGACTCGTGCACCCGTTTGCGGTTGGCCGCAGGTGAAACCACAGTGACATCAGTTAATTTCAGTTTATATAACGTATACATATTAAAGCGCGCGCGCGTGTGGCACCGCGCGGAAACACGTGTACAGAATGCTACCTGAAAACAAGAATAATTATATCGCCAAATTAACCAACCTTGCACTTTCTTCCGGATATCAGAGACTCTCTTCGTTGCGAATATTTCGTTCTGTATCCATCGCTGTTCGCAGGCGACAACGTGGACTGCTGGATGGAAATTCAGCACGGCAAGGGTCCATGGGCGCCCCCCGTGTCCGGTATCGTGCCGCTCGGCTCCACTCTTACTCTGGTCGTCGCCATAAACGATTATCGAGGTAACGAGCTTTCTCTCTCTCTCTCTCTCTCTCTCCACTATTTCCCAGATGCACGGAACTTTCCGGTTGATCGGACGGGCACTGACGTAATTTTGTGTTATTTAACCGAGCACAGGTGAGTTCGACATGCGGGTCAAGTCGTGCGTGGCTTCGGACGGAGGCGATCACACGATACAGCTCAGCGACGAGTTCGGATGCGTGCTAAGACCGAAGATGATCAGCCGGTTCTTGAAGGCGCGCGGCTCGGACGAGCGCGCGACCGTCATTACGTACGCCTTCTTCCATGCGTTCAAATTCCCAGACGCGTTAAGCGTTCATATCAAATGCAAGGTAATAATGCATGAAATTTGCTGAATTGTCGTTTACCTTTCGGATCTTGTCTCACAAATGTCATTACGTTGGTGTGAAAAAAGGTGGAAATATGTCGGCACGGTTGCCTGGATCACTGTCAATTGAGCGGCTCCATAGCGCACTACATTCAAGAGAGAAAGGATCAAATACGGCCACAGTATATAGAGAGTACGGCAGCCTCCGTTCTCTCCAATGACAACGACAACAATAGCGCGGACAAAGAGAACGAGGATGCGGTTGGCAGTGTGGAGCAGGGAGACGGTTCTCTGTACGACGATGTAATCCAGAATGGCGACGAGATGACGTCGATCGGCGGACATTTCCTGGATGTTGAAAAGTCGATTCCAAAAGCGCAGGCACAGACGAGTAACCGACGAGTACCGGCCGTGTCGACTGACGCGCAGCACGATAGCGAGGTCCAGCCGGATGATGTCGACTTGTCGAAACCATTCATGGTAAATATGACCTCTCTTGTGATCGCGCGCTCTCCTAATTAATGTCTCTTTCTCGCTCAGCAGGAACCACCGCGAGTGAACAGGTACGAGAGCGACCAGGAGCAATTCCCGCATGGACCGCGGAATCTGGAGGAGGTGACGCCGCTCTCCGCCAGCGTTACCCGGCGAAAACGCTCGGTGACGGTAACGGACAGGAAAGCGCGCAGCGCCGACGTCGGCGTCAGCGGTATTTACGAGGTCATCTCCGAGGCGGATCTAGCCTTTAGTCCGGACACGCATGCCGAGGCGGTGACAGTTTTTCAGGGCAGGATACGCGAGGAGGTCGTTTACGGGATCTGTCTGCCGATGCCAGGCTTCAGCGCGCTTTTCATCGTCGTCGCGCTCTCGGCAGTCGTTTCCGCCCTCGTTGCAGGCGCGATGCTGCATCGGCTGCAGGCGCAGCGGGACGTCACCGCCGGCGACAGAGAGAACAACCAAACCGGTGTGCACGCCAACAACAACGGCTGGTTGCCTTACGGCCTGCTACGTGTGCGTTGCGCAACAAGGACCGCTCATCCCGACGAGTTGCAACAAAAGCAGGCGAACCTAACTTCCCAGGTTACCGCGGATCCATCGGTCGAGAGAGGCTGATGAGACGCCTTAAACCCGCGTCGACCTTGAGACGCCGTGGCCCAGGTGCGTCTAAGGAGAGACAATGTGCAATAATACGCTGTACAAAGTATCGTAAGTCGCTCAGCTGCTGGCATTTCGTATAGAGAGAGAGAATAGCTATTATTTGGCACTATTGTTCGAGTATCCTCCTGCGAATCGCGCGACGACATTCCAGTTCTCGCGAATCGCAGTCGTCGAGGACTCTATCTCTGCTAGGTATTTGCGTTACTCTGATGATTTTTGTGAATCTATTCCATAACTCTCGTAACGTCAATATCGTCTCAATCGCATAACACGATGTTTATTCAGCCGTTATGTCACGCGTCGTAGTTTTTAATAATCAATTAAACACTAATAAATGCCGCATTGTTATGAATATTTCTTCCGAATGTTATACAATATTATACTCTTTACCGCAAAGTTTTTTTTATAAATAAATTTACTAAAAAGTCACTCTTTAATATTATCTTTCAAAAATAAATATCGAAAAATATTTATTATTCCGTGGAAGATGCAATACAAATTATACGTACGTTAAAACGTTATAAAACAGATGCACTACAAGACAGAATTTATTGAGAAGAAAACATTTAAAGTCGTATTTTCAGAAAAATGTCTTGAATAATAGTAATAAATATCAGAAATATTCATAATTGTATTAATAGTATATTTATAAGATTAATGCATTTTGTCGTACGAATGGTAAAAATGAATGGTAAAAAAAATACACTGTAATTGCTCTGGCGCATCGAATTATCTCGGTATTTCGATGCATTCGACATTCTATCGACGAATACACCAAGGGTTACAAAGCATCTATGATCTAAATAAGTTTTATTTATAACAGGTATTGTTATATCGTTTACGAGTCTTTAGGATACTGATTGTGCGTCGTGTTCGGTTTCACGACATTCTCGTCATGTAGAGATCGTTAATGATTTGCTCTAAGGAGGCTAAAAGTATATATTTATCTCGGATGTGTATGAAGTATGTTAACAATTTTGGGGGGGGAAAGCTTTGACACGAGAAACAAATACATATTCGTATCCATTCTTTCATCTTCTAAAGCTTTCACAACCTACGGGTTTGTGCGCAAGACTTGGAGGAGGGTTTACAATTTTTCCCTTTATATTTCCACGTATATAGATAGACTGTTGCAAATCATAGTATATTAAGCTATTGCCACAAATATAATTTTTTGTTATAATCGAGTTTCTTATACCTGATATACGTAAGTAAATGCACTGGAAACGTCCATACCGAAATGTCTCACGCAAAGACCTTTTCCAAAGATATTTCTCACGGTATGGACGTATTTTCAACCGTATTTATTATTCGAATCCCATTTCACGTAGGAAATTTCAGCCTGTTTAAATGGATTTTACTAATGAACGAGCAATAAAGTAATTCATTTCCTTGCTCGTTCAAAGGACTTGCGAGTTGCCAAGTATACATAATTTAAAACTAGATCTTAAGTTATTTGTACATGTATACACGTGTACAAAACTTTGTCATACGCTTAGATTGAATAACTTAAATTTAAGCGTAACATGTGTACGATCAGCACTGAGAGATAAAACGTGGCATCGCCTTACAACGAATGGAAACGTTCGAGCAAAAGTAAGGCGATATAGTACGACTATTTAGTTAAAAGATTACGTTTTTATATGTAATATATAGAAATATGAATAAATAATAATGGCAATAAATATATTTACAGAATCTTCAATGTATGATTCATTCCTAATTATAATTTATTCTGTATACAAAAATACATCAACTGCCTTTATTGGTTAAAAATAAAATAACTAGAGATTTATATGAGATTAATCAATTAAATGGCCGACGGAAATACGCAACTTTTAGGACAACTTGCGTATTGCTATACCTTATACGCTAAATCAATCACGCTACAAATATAAACTAATGACTGCACACACGATTTCGTATATAACTTATTCAATTGCTTCATTTTCTTTCCACATTTTTTAGCAGTTTTCTTAGCAATACTGTATTGATCGTATAGTATAGTAACAATGGTGTGACAAATGCGATAAAAACTTTATCATTCATACCTTTTTCAGCGCTGCTTAACACTTGTATAGCACACATAAAACAAAGCAAACTTTGTCTCATAATCAGACTGCGTAATTTATTATTTGCTGTTTTACATAATATCAGTATACACAATATTTTGGCACTTAAGATTTTCGCAATTTAAATAAAGACGCCCGTCACGGATTGAGGGAGGTCCCAGGTTCGAATCCTGGTTGGGGTAATATTTTTCGCAATAAGAATTTTAATTGCCAGATACGGTCAATAAAAATCATTGATGTTGTTAAATAAAGCTATTAAAGTAAAGTTTTAAATAATTAAAACTTTTTTTCATAATCCATTTGTTTTGCCCATATCTTCATAGTTGTAATTATCTTATTTGTCAATTGCAATTTTATAATTTTATTTAGAAGAATATAGAATTTTACCCATCTTTAACAAATTTACATGTGTAATAAATCTAAATAATAATATTAACAATAACATTATTGACATTACTTAAATACTATATGTAGACTAATTCCGCAAAATTTCTGAAATTATGGTATTATTGTCCAGTCGCGTGTTGAGCAACCATTGTTATACGAGAATCCCAAATACCGAGAGAAGGAAAACGGAGAAAGAAGTTGAGTACAAACACGTAGATAAGTAATAAACGCAGAAACATGTTTGATTATCTTTGACTAAATTTTCGGCGTATCGCCGTATGTTGTTGCCTATAAAGGCCTGAGCTTAAGTTTCATTATGACGAAACACAACTCTATGGAGTAGTGAACGAAAGTGACGAGTATTGTAACATTATCGTAAGATAATACCACTGGCATTAGCACGTTAGGAAAACGTAGCTTTGCATAGAGTCATGCTTGCGACACTCGATAGCCTCTACGAAACCTGAAGATTCGCAATTTCGAAGACCAGTATACATAAAGTTCCCTAGTGGTCTCTCTCTCTCCCCTTCTAAAAGATGTTCCACTGTGTGGAAAACTCGACTCGCTCGAAATTCTGGATAAGCATAAATATACGTACAAAAAAATACTGTCGGTTAATGGCCAAAGGTATTTGAAATAGTACAGACGACTTGCATCCATTTACCGTTAATATTTTGTCTCGGCAAAGTATTCGCAGCCAAAACTAACTGCTTTTTCTCCGCATGATCGGACTTGTGGAAGTCTGTGTTATAAAAGTACTAACCTCCAATGATATTGAAATGATATCGCAGAAAACTAGGGAAACTGATAAAGCTTGACGGTCCTTCTTCCAGCATCGAGATATTCGAATCACGGAGACTCGCGAGAGATATCTCTATGAGTAGAAGCACGTTCTCAAAGATTTCTTCGTCGCGCCATTCTGTTCGACGTTAGAAAACGCCGTGGATTTCTTGGCCCTCGCCGAGAAAGGCCTGAGACGCATAAAGAGGTAAGCGGACAGCACACACGAGGACAGTAAAACGGCGAGTAGTACAATGAGAGTAATCGCGAATCCAGGAGTAGTCATGCAGATCATGGTCGAGCTGGCCGTGTTCTCGTGACGTTGCGGAAACACCATCGTCGGTCCATTCAGCTCGGCGTTGTTGCCGTCGTCGATGGAGAAGGTGAGATCACCGGTCGAGACAACGCGAATAATTCGTTTGACACCTACGGCCTTTTGCGGGTTGTGCACGATCTCTCGGGATTTCCGTCTCCTTTCGTCCCGGGGTCGTCCAGCCGCTGCCTGCAAATAGGCCTCCAACGGCAGCGGGATCGGAGGAGGAAGAGCATATCCGACGTCTGGATGGCCATTCGTCGGCGAGTGATGATGGTGATTCTCCAGAAGACTCTGACTCTCCAAAAGCGGCGACGATTCCGAGCACTGTTCCGGACATTGGTATCGGCATATCTGTATCGTACATTGGAAGTGAACCTCCATCGAGTCCGGAAACTTGAACGCCTGGAAATGGGCGTACGACAGCACTGACGCCGAAGCGCCAAAGTTCTTGATCTTGGTGAACCTAGACATCAATTTCGGCCGTGTGATGCAGCCCCGTTGATCCACCAGTTGTATCGGGGCGCGTTTGCCGTCGTGGGCCATGCAGTTTCTCACAAGCATGTCGAACTTGGAGTCGTCATCCTTGATGGCGAGTACCATGGTCATGGTCTGGCCGATCTTGACCAGTCCCGAGACCTCGGAAGCCCACGGCCCCTTACCGACCTGTATCTGCATCCAGCATCCGACGTTGTCGCCGGCGAAATCCGCGCGAACTACGTCCAGCATGTCGACGGGAAACGGGCGGAAAGTGACCGATTTCTCGTACAGATCGTGCCAAGTGCAGCGCAGTTTACGCGCCTGGTCCCAGACCTCTTGCACCTGAGGATCGTACTGCACCACTATGATGTTTTCGAAGAAGGTTCCGGAGCCAGACTCGGCGCCGTATCCGTACAATCCATTCTCCGTATTGCCGGCCGTACCGCACGCGTGTATGCTGATCTCGAAGTTGACGGACGTGCGACCAAGTCCCGCTGGTAGATGTACGCAGTTAATGCTACTGTAGTGACCTTTACTAAAGACCATACCGTAGAACGGCTTATCGAAACCCAAGTAAACCTTCATCAGACTTTTCTCACATTTCACGTCCAGCGACACGATCTTGGGCATATCGGGTGTCGGCGCTGGCCAAGGTTCGACGCCGACCGCGGTGCTAACGCCACCGCCACCAGTGCTGTAGATCTTGTCCATAGCTTCCGGTTGCGCTTTCGAAGGTGGCAATGGTGGCGGTGGGCCATGATAGGCCACGTTATGGTGCGGACGCGGTAAACTTAACGCACCTCGACCCGGTGGTAGCAGAGGATGACCTCGAAGGCCGCCCGGTTTATAGTGATTCCCTCCCGCATCCTTATCCGCTATCGAATCCAATGCCAATTGATCGGAATTAATTAACTCATTATCCTGGTGATTCAGTGCCGAATTCTCGTTTCGATTATCTTCTCCCGGAATTGCCTCCACAACCTCGACTTCTTCGGCTCGAGCCAGCTGCAACCCAAAGTTTTAAACTCACTTTGAAGAGCAAAGGCGATTCGTTCAAATCTGCGCTATCGTACAGGAATTTTGCTTTCTTTTCGCATCATTCATTATTTATGTCACCCTCGAGCCAATACATTACCATACTCATTCGCAAATTTTATTTTTATACCACCGAGCACTTGAATGTACGTACGTTGCTTCGGAGAATAATTTTTACACATTTATCGAAAAAGGAGAAAAAAAACGGTCGTACAACGGTATCCGTTTCTCACGCGCTCAATGGAAAACCTAAGTGTGTCAAGCTGTACGACGGAATCGCGCTGTACTGAGAAATGCGCGGTACGGGCTCGATCGTTGGATTATCCGATCGGACAAATGGAGCGATCGTCGAAAGAGTTATTTCCGGTGACGCGACAAGACGGCCCCGAGGGCGAGAGACGTGGACACGCGGAGGTGACGGAGGATGGCGAGTTGCCGCGCCGGCGGCGACGAACCTGTTCGGTTCGGAGTATTCAACGAATGTGGAGTTGAAGGATTCGATCTCGAGACGGTGGGGATAAGGGGGTTGCGAGGTAGGGAGTCCGCGGAATAGGAGCATCGGTGTGTATACAACTGTACGTTATAGTGGTCGATTGCGTCACGCGTGACCTTAGGGCATAACGGACCACCCGTGTCTTTAGCCGCGGGTCAATCGGCCAGTTCCGCACACACATGTTCGGCTCTCCTTCTCACCCCGCCCGTCTGTTTACTCGTCCTGTCATGGATTCTCAATGTGCGCGTATGTCCCATAACTCGACGAAGGCCTACTGGCGCGGGCTGCGCGCCGGATCGCGATGGACCTTTTCAAACGAGATGCGACAACTGCCGGTGCTCGTCGTCATAATCAAACGTGTTTTATCTTGGATCGTAACGGTTCACGCTTTTCTTCCGTCCAAGTCGAAAGAAGAAAAGTGCCATTGTCACTTATTTTTCCAAGAGTGTAGAGCGCGTGACAATTTTTCGAAAACCTACGCGCAGAAAAGAGTCGATACATTCCGTCGCCGCATTCTTTTATCAAGTTGACGATAATCGTCGATCGAGAGAAGTCGAGCGAAAAATAAAGCGGACACTTGCATCGAAAATCGTGTCGAGCCACAGGAATGCAGGATGAAAAGGGTACACACAGCGAAGAAGCCTTCGCGCGCTCACACCGTAGAAACCGGTCGTTCCGCGCGCGGGATTTTTGCGCACCACCTTGTAAGAGAGCGGGCCGACGCGCGCGATGAAACGTTACTCGGGTCCTCGGTAGACTCTTCGCCGCGCCGCGCGCACCATTTTCAGAGTCGCCCTTAGCTCTGGGTCAGAGCACTGGGTAACGGCATTGCCCGGCCACGTGCGTACTCACCGCGATATCTGGGTTATAATGTAGTAATTACCTACGCAGACGTACCGACCTACCCCCGCGCAACAGAGATCCCCCCGCGCCGCGCCGCACCGCGTCTCGTCGTGCGTGCCCTCCGCACCAGACGAGAACCAATAATACCTCATTCACCGGCTCTCTTTCGTCTCCCGGAACGTTCGATCGACATTTCGCCTTTAAACGCCGTTACGACCATCCCATACGATGCAACAAGAGTTGCATCTCGCAACGAGACTTTTTAAAAACGCTAAATTCACTCACCCCCTTCAATAGGAGACAGGCTAGAATATAGATACGTAACTGCATACCGCGTCGGTGTCCACGGTGGAACACTGTACTGGTATCACTGAAAACAATATCGTTACATTCTTATTCCACTCGATATTGTGCCAAAGATATTCTTTCATCGAACTGGCGTTACTTATTTTCGATAATAATCTTGGAGATAATACAATAAAAATAGTTTAATGGAACGACTGTGTTAAACGCGTAATAACTACCTGTGACGATAATTGTACGATTGTGGTCGAGTAGTCGTGAAAGTCGAGAGACTCCGTCTCTCGCAGCTATCGTAATATTACGGACGGTCCTTTCCGTCGGCGTAACCACCGACTGCTCGACACTACTGCGATCTGTAATTAGAGTTTCACGAAATTTATAACTGTAAGAATCTTTCGTCGTAGGAAGCATCGCGGACGTGTGGATTCGTCAGGCGAACTTTACAACAATTACATTAGGCTACCTTACGGTACAGGATGCATATATAATACAAGACAGTCTGCCGTCGAACTCGCGTTTCGCGCGTGTTTGATCGCCAATTATCAAGCAGCATGTTCGCCTCGCGCAACCACTAAGCCACCTGTCCCAAATTCCTCTCGAACGTCCGCGTTTTCGCTCCGTTACTTTGTTGTAAACGTAAAACTGCGGTCACGTCTATCGGAGCCGAATTCGCTTTTAAATTTGCACACGTTTTCATTAAGTAACGAGGATAATTTTATTGCCAAAAAATTACTTTGTCGCATATTTCTTTCGTAATAGGGGAGAAAAGAAAGATAGGGGATGCCACTCATTTCTTTTATGCCGCTATTCTCTGTACAATACACGGAATGAGAGACAGATTCTGATAGCAATTTTTCTTTTATAGATCACAAAGCACCTAATTGTAAAACAGGAAGTGTGTGTCTGTAAACGGAAAAGGAAAATTATTGAAACCCTAAAATACACAAATTTTACCGGGGCTTTTGTCGTGCGTAAATTGAAACGCAAACGGGGAAAACAATCGTGTAAATGGCAGGTACGTAAATTTATGTCGCGAGTAGCTACTAATTTCCCTAATGGTCGTGCCGATTTCAATGTCTCGCGTTTTAGTGCTCTCTTACAAAGTACACGCGGCAGAAATACCACCTCATTCAAGCATTCCTTTTCGGAGTGTACACGCAATGTAATGTACGTAATATACATACGTTTAATGACAACATATGTATTACCCGCAAACCGTAAAACCCTAGTTTGCTCTATCTAAATTCTTCAATCTTACAAATGGTTTAAATTCAACAAACAGTGCTCCCACAGAAAAAGGAAGCCGTTCCTCTTTTTGCGGTGATTATCTTTTTAATTTTCCAACTTTTAACATCAACTCGCGACACGCCGTTTTGATCTGTAAATAAAAAAAAGTCTCTAAAGTTGGAAACGTTGCTGTTATAACGACGAATGGCACGACCGCTTTCGCGCGCGTATGAAAGAGAAAAGCCAGAGACGATATGCAAGACGACCGTGCGGTAATGTGCAGTCAGTGTTCAAGTGGTATGCTTGACGTTTTATGAATGTAGGCAAGTAGGCTCCCGCCGATCAACGCTCGACCGCACGCGCGCACACGTGGAGCCCAAGTCAAAAGGACCAACCGGTTAGCCGGGCGCGGCCGCCGGCTATTCGTCCAGTTTGCGAATTCAGTACTTTGTGTACACGATTGTAATACCTAAAGCCGTATCTCTGATAAATTAACGTTGAGAAAGAACCAAAATGTTGCGATCGCGCAATAGTCTTGACTTTTTCTCTCCAAATGAAATATAGTTGACGTTGTAATAAACCGAAAAAGTGTCGCGAATGTAGTTGCCCCAACACGTGGAGCCGACTGTCGCAAGCGGTTTGGAGAGACAATCGCAAAGTCATTCGATCATATCATATATTATCTGCTTTTGCAATTCGTGTCACGGTAAACCGCGACACCTGTTCTTCCTCTTACGAGTAGCTCGTACTCGAATCGAAAAATCTCTGCCAGCTGTTTACACGTCTTCGCGCTAACCATGAATCGGACATGCCGAAGATGTGGCATGATGCCAAATACATATAACGGTTCCGTCGATGTTGTAATTCCAAAGTCGGGCATTCGCATAATCAGCAATCTAATAGCGACCTATATAGAACGAACATAGAGGCTTTTCTGTTTCCTTGTCCCCCTTTCTCATTATCTTCTCCTCTATATAACGGACATCCCGAAAGACATCGCGTCGCAAATAATATCTGCTAACATTCGAGAGGAAGCTAAACAAACCGAAGCGTCGATCAATTTACACGTTACTCGCATCGGGCTTTAATAAATTATCCCGCTTTGAAGATTCGACACAAATCTCGACATTCACAAAATAAAACGTTACGATGCGAGCTACTCATAGGCCGAAAATGGTCGGTGACCCCTTTGAATCTCTTTGAAAATTGAAACCGGAGCATCGCGCTCGGATATATCCGATCGTGACAACGCATTACCTATCGTGCCATTATATCAAGACAGTGATATAGATGCAATCTGTATTACTAATCTTATTTTGCAACACGGTTAACGTTGCAGTGTAACAAGTGTAACAAAGTAGTCCAACTCGATCGCATCGACAAAAGAGCACACGCGTCTAGAAAAAGTGCCGAGGCGAAAATCTGTATTATACAAATGCTCAAAAGATAAGTCACGTCGTCCGACCGCATGAGCTGACTGTAATTTGGAGCATCGAGAATATGACGCAGAGCATTCAAAAACGGAAAACAACAAATCTTATGTGCTTATATATTAATTGCAAGTTCTTGGACAAAAATAGCAAAACGCGCTGAAAAGTGACGCACTCTCGAAAGACTTGGATAACAATACCTTACGGTATACCTTAAAGTCGCCGGTTCTGCCAACTATTTTTAATACGGATCTATCATTCTTATTCAGTAAACGTGCGCACGCGTGATTGTACATATCGTAAAAGATTCACGGTCTACTCCTTTTAACATGCTCCACCTCGTTTGGTTACGCTGTTTGCACGATGGTATATACGGAATTACACGCTTTTTAATTACCGTGCAATTTTAATTGACAAAGTAGTGACCAATTGTACAGCAATGTTTTCTCCGCGCGCGTTTCATACCAGGTATTAATACCATTTAATTTTCACTTACATTGACGCAATTATAGCAATAGTGAAAAATGAGGATAATTTAAAAGAACACTGCTATCGACACTGTAAAACAGGCTCGTTGGACAATATCGTTTCGCTCGCGCCGTAGCACATGTTCGCTAGAGTGGAAACGGTCACCACGTGGCTGACTGTATCCTACAGCGCGACGTATAATTTCTCTCAATGAGCCTGCGCCCCGGCCGTTATTAACGCATTAACGAGGCGCGAAACGATGACGTGCGACTTGCCTCTAATAACTTAATCAGTGACGTAGCGCTAATTGGATTACGTCCTGTAGCAAGGTAGCTGGTCGTTAACCGCCGCGTACGTACATACGTCCGCCGGACTCAAGAAGCGCATTTGATAGCCGCGAATTATCTATAACGACGTTTTCACCGTGCACACGCGAGAGAGAGAGTATTTGGGAATTAAATTTGCGGTGTGTGTATTGCATTACAGGACCGGCGGCTGACAAGATAAATTGGCGTGCGCGACATCTTCGATTTGCAGCCTAAATGTTTGGCAGAGCGACTGAACGTATAACGTGATATTGGCGACGCGATGATATCTTACTTCTCTGATTGTGAGCCGACACCCCCAAGCAAATCCGGATGCGAGTGGACGCCAACGTGCACGAGTCTCCTTCGGACGTCAGAGGAAAGAACGAAGAACTGAATGAATCGCTACATCGATCGCTGCCGCACAACCTCGCGCCCAAATCCACGCGCTCGAACGCTCAAGGTGAGATTGACAGCCGTAGAGTGCGAAATGAGGTATTCCCTCGAACGGACTCTGTAAGAGCCTCCGGAAGCTCCGTGCGAACGACTGATCACCTCGTGATGACGCGATACCCGCGACAGCTAGAGAAAGAAACGCGCGCGCGGTCGCCGGTCTCAGAGGTGCACGCGAGAACTCGAAGAGTCGGAATAGGGTACACCTGTCCGATATACGGAGTATACTACAAACGCGCGTAGCGGCCCGCCCCCTGACCCAGACAGCCGGTACAGTTATATAGGTCCCTCACGCGGACCGGAGAATATCTCTCCTCGTTCTCGCTACATTCGCCGTGTCGTGAGTCTGTGACTCGATCAACTTGATGCCAATGTTCATGCCCTCTACACGTCTGTGAGAAGAAGCGAGAAAAAAGGGACACTCGTCCTCTCCGCGCGTCTAGGCGTCTATGCTCGACGATACCCTATCGCTTAGAGCGCGAGATAAGCTTTATCGCTCAGGACAAAAATGACACGTGGAACGCGTTCAATTATTGATATCGCAATGGTACTTTGATGGAGCTCGGCCGCAATAATTGGGGATTTTGATGGAAAACCTGGATAATTTCTAACGATAACAACATCTCGTTAGTTGTCTGGTCATTCGTTCTCCAGCGCATATATATCTACGTACAGTAGAAAAGCGCTATAATGAAAACAAAAAGAAGATTCATTTACAATTGATACAAAGTATCGCTTTTACACGTTGCGCTCAACGCAACGTTGTAAGTTATGCACGAATAAATAACATATGTGTAACATCAATGTCACGACCAAAGTTAAACCAATATGTTCCGCACATGGATACACGAATATTTAAAACCTACCTATACGTATATACTACCATCTCAAGTTACGTGTCCACTATTTATCACGGCAACTTTCTTATTCTGAGAAGAATGGGCTACTTGTAAATCGTTCAATGACATTTCACATTTCACTCAATATTTTGATTATACATGTTCATTAATTAACGGCATATAGGACAGTTGTGCATAAGTAAAGTGTCCTTAATCTGCAGTGACAGATTAGCGACAGATTTTACACGAATAATTAAAAGAATGTACTTTCGTTAAAAAAACATCTTATTTTTCCGTCGATAAACTAAAACGCGAGAAAATTTCATCTCTTATTATTGACAACCTAGTTATAAAATAATTAAATTCTGAAAATAAGTTAAAAATTAAAAAGTGAAATTAATTAAGTTATTAGGTGCGCAAGTTTCGTCTTCAAACTGGATACATCATATGGCGACCTCTGGTACTGCACTTCGAATGTAGTATTATAAATACTAAAGGTAATTAACGATTGATGATAATTTATCAATCGATGGTTATATACAAAGTACATTTACCGACATAGCTTATAATAATGATTTTTATAATTAAACATTCTGTCTCACATCATTACTGAATGAATCCTAGATAGATGAAATGTATAGAATATATTTTGTTAAAGAAATCTTCCTTAAATAATTGCCACAAACATTCAAGTTTTTCAATGTTTTACGCAGAAAAAAAAAGAAGTCACTTGAATTAAACGTTAACGTCACGGGTTGCCAAACATAAATAATTCTCTCAATTGTGTGTGCTATGGATTTCAATTTTAAGCATTAAACTAAATATCCAGATTATTAAGGCAACTATCTCATGTTTTTCATTCATTAATACTGATGTCGTTTCAACAATTTTATTTCCATTGCACTGATCTCGTTGAAACAACATCATTTTGTTTCCGTATACAAAATCATTGATATGGATTTTATGTGTCACACTACACGTACAACATGGTCGATTAATATGACATTTATGTATTCGTTCAATTTCATGTTTGACATTTATAATACAACTGTATGTGAATTATGTAGAGTTATAAAAAGTGGAATAACAACAAAATATTCACGTCGATTACAGTCTACGATTATGTTCTCATTAACTCTAGTATCGCCTGACCAGTTTCTTACAGAAACCGATAGTGAGGACCACCGTGAAACATGAAAATTACAAATATACTACTCGTTACTTTATCACTTCTGCTAGTAAGTAGTAACATTTTTTAACGTGTTTTATTTTCTATATTATTTTCTATAAAAATTCTTATCTAATAGTGCGAAAATTAACGTTTTGTACATTTACTGTGCAAATTAAACTACATTTTCGAGTGTAGCATTCAAAATTTATATCACTACGCATGTATATATACAATAATTACATACATTTATAATTTCGATATATTTTAATATTAAATATATTTGATATATTTATAAAATTTATTTCACATTTTGTGTGCATGTTCGAGCACAAGCGGACATTAAACGAGAGTGTCGCCGGCAAACGAATGTTTCTTGGGGTATGAATATTTTATATTACTCGAACATTGAGAAAAGTGCATTTATTTTTCTTAATTGGTTTCTTTGATCTAGCATCCTTAAAGCTACTAAAGGCTGGAAACATTGAACAAAATGATATGAAATTAAAATGTTATTTGAGATGCTTTATGATAAAAAGTGGTATTCTTAACGAGAATAACAATGTAGATGTTGAAAAAGCCCTGCGTCATCTCCCGCGCAGTATGCAAGAGTCATCGAAAAATATTCTTAATCGATGTAAATCAATTCGTAAGTCCTTTCATTGTATGTTTTTAGCTACTCTCTCGTATAACAAGGTCAACCTATAATTATTGCAATTTTGAAAATATACATTTTATATATCTTTTTCTTTTCATATGAAATGTACAACACAATTGGTATATTGAAAATTGAAAAAATAGAAAGTGATTGATAATAAATTAATAGAAACATAAATTTTCAGAAGCGGAGAATCCTTGCGACAAAGCTTTTCAAATAGCCACGTGTTACGTTAGAGCGCAACCTGATGTACGTAAATTTATAATAATATAAACTTATTATCCTCATACAAAGTACTTTTATATGACTCAAGTAATAATTCTGTTTACAGATCTTGAAAAGTGTATCGTTTATTTAAAATTAATGTTTTGATAGACATATGCAAAGTGTCCTGAAAAATATAAATAAGAATAATAGTATCAAGTAGCTATATGTATATGTAGAAACGTTAATTTATTAAAATTATATTATTTGAAGAAAATATTAAAAATAATTTTTCTAGTTTATAGTCTATTATAAAAAAATTAGAAAATAAGAAAAGCATAAAAATTATTCAACTTACTACTTATGACATACATGTATGTATGTAAATACCCGTCAAAGTACTAGAAATTAATTTGAATGTACATATATATCGTTTTGACATAATTTTTGTTTGAAGACTACGTACACTTTGCTGTTCTTATCATCAAGTACTTTTAACAAATTAAAATTGTGACAGAGAATAATGTAGCGGCTACATATTATGAATATAATAAAATTCTACACACGACACAATTTATGTTAAAAAGTCATAAAAAAAAGATGCCGGTAGAGAAAAAGATGAACGAGACCATGGTAACGTATAATAATTATTTATCATAATTTACGTCACACATCAGATCTCAACAATATTCATTTTATCAAAATTTCAAAATTTTTTCAAACTAAACGATTTACATCTGCACTAAAAACTCATCATGTGTGATCATTGTGCGTAAGTGATATTTATACATCGCGTAAAGCAATTTTAATCTCTCATGCTATTATAAACTTCTCACTTTTTGACGTAGTGTTACATAACCGTGTAAAACGCTGCTATGTATATACTTATATATGTGAAAAATATTGATGTTATCTTTTATAGTAAAATAACCGGTCAAAAAGGATACGCTGGACAAGTGACCTGCCGATGTGAGCCGTAAGTTTTCATAAATATTTATAAATTGATACATATGTTTGTGCGTATAGATAATGTATGTCTCGTATCTTGTCACATTATGTTTGAGGACTGGCGAGAAAAAGAACGATGTAGAAGTAAGGAGTAAGGAAAAGGACTTTGCTGGATGTTGCAGTAAAAAGTAAAAATTACGATAATCGGTTAGAAATAAGGAAAACTGTTTAAACCTATATGGCCGCCTGGCTATATAATAATGATGGCACAAGCATTGCAATATTCTCAGAGATTTTGACAATTTAGTGATTGTAATTCAACTGAATGTATAGAGAAAAAAAGGTACGTGGAGGATGTTGCGGTGCTAAATGTTGTTCGGGTACAAAAGAAGAGCATGGCGGATGTTGCAATGCCACTGCGGATGAAAAGAGCTGCTGTCCAGCAGGAAAATAATCTATCAACGCAATGGTTCCGCTTGATGACGAGGTTAAAAAGGCGGCCATATGGGCTATTTTCAGTGTGAATTCACAAATTCGCCTTTTTCAACACATTACACAACTTATCTCGTCACACATCCCGTCTAAATTCAAAGTACCTACCAGATATTTATTTAGATTTGGTTATAGTTTTGTCCTGTATTTGATATCATACTTATTGTTATTACGTTTATCAATTGATATTTTACACATTAATACTGTATATTTCTTTATAGAGCGAGAGAAGCAGCCGGTGGTTGCTGTATGTCTGGTTGTTGCAAAACCAAGAATGGAGGGAGCGAGAGAGACTCGGCAGGTGCGGATGGTGTTACACAGGCGAAAGATACCGTTGGTCGTTCAGGAGGATGCTGTGCCGAAAATCGGAAATAACTTTGAAAAGAAATATTTGCATCGTAAATTCTAATCGAAAAGATTCAAATGCTTTCATTTCTATTCCACATGCACATTTCTGTACTGCGCGCAATTGAAAATATTTGGATAATAAAGCTACTTAAATCTCCATATATAAAATTAATTTGTTGTTGCAAAATTGTCGCTCCAAACGCACAAAGCACATAAATTCTATTTTAATTGTTATGCAAAATACGAGACGGTGCTGCTGTTTATACAAGTTTCATACGTTGAAAATATTCCTTATGCTCTTCAATCGATTGTCAATATAATCGAGCTTAATATAACCCAATCGCAACAATTTGCAAATATATTCCTCTATTATGCATCCTATCCTATTCGGCTTTGTAATAATTACCGTATGAAATTAATGCTAATACGCGAAATTTTATGTACATTATTAACGATCAACAAGTATAGGAAGTGTAACGTGTAACACACGCGAGTAACTAAGAGAGTGAAAAAAGTTATCGTAATTATTTAAATATGAATGTAAAATTAATGTGGAGAACGACACAGGTCCCACCTGACTTAAACTACTTTTTATCGCGCACGCGTCACGTACAAAAATATCAAAATTGCAGAGTGTCAGAGGATGCAGATTGTAATTATATGTATACGTGCACGAGCCGTCGGCGATAATAGATTTGAGAAAATAGCATCTGAATGATTAAAAAATAATTAAAAGGTAAAAAAAACGAGTGATCCGTGACGTCACACGTAGGGAAAAATCTACGTCATGTCTGTGTATATCCGTGACGCACGTGCAAGAAACAGGGTGCTTCGAGCAAAAGTTGATAAGGGCGAAAGTGCGTATGTGTGCGCGGGGATGATGCGGCTCGACGCGGCTCGATGCGGCGCGCAAGCGCGACGGGTGCAGAGCTTTCGAGCCACGCGATGGTAGCAGTTGGCCTTCTAAAACCGCGAAACACGTCCCGCGTTCTCTCGAGGAAGAGTACCGCGAGGGTATCCGAAAGCCACGCTTTTTCTCCCGTTTATCGTGTACGTGCGCGTTTACCGTAAGAACCCAAAGACGTCCCCGATCGTCCATTCTGACCCTTCCTCGGTCAACCTCCTTACGTTCGCTCTCATTTCACACTGACACCTGGCACACGTACCAAATCACGGCAAATACCAACAACACACCGTCTCGTCGCCAGTGCCTCGAACGTCGTGACAGCGTGCATCAATCGAATCGATCGAATGTTGGCGATCGGGAAAGACCCTGACCTTGAGAGTCCACGTGCGAACGGGATACGTCAGATTAGAGGACAATTAACGCGCGTTAACTGCCGCGATAATTCGCTAATGAACAACAACCGTCTTACCCGTAGATTTTTATCAGCGGTGGAGTGTACCATCGGTTTGTAATACAAAAGTTATACATAAAGTTTCGCGCGCGGCATATCATTCTTATTTCATAGCTTGCTCATTACCGCCATCGTCTTCCAATCGGATATTCGAGTTACATTATAAACATCAAACACGTTCATCTATAATATTATAATTTATCGATTGCTCAACCGAAAAAGCCTCCCCCCCCCCCCTCCTCGTTCATTACATTAGCCTATTAAATCATAGTAAGTCCTCTACCCCTTACGCGATTTTCTGTTTCAATTTCTGGTAACTCGCGAGTCGTAATTTTAGACTACTGATATTTAAGGGTAAGAAGGCTTGTCGTAAAGTACCTGAAATGTGTATCTGAAAAAAAAGTACACAGGTGGAAACGGAAGGTAAATAAAATAAAAATAAGTGACCGCTGGTTTTTACTGACAAATATTTAACTACTAAATAATTTCAAACATCGTTTTCAGTCGAATTTTTGCTCTAGAATTCTAGGTCATTCAGATAATAATTATATCGATTTATTTTACTGAAAAAAAGTAGACGAAAATATGTATTAAATATTTGTCAGCAAAAAGACAGGGGCCACTTACTTTTTTATCTCCACTTTCACTTTTGTATCTTTTTTTCTCAGATCTTTTCACCTCACCGATTAAATTTTTGGAAAGAACAACTCGTTTTACCTCTAAATGCTAATTTCGATCTAAACATTCTCGTTAAGACCCAAGTTACAAAGACTTAAAACAGGAAAGCTCATAGAGACCTTCTAGGACTTGGTGGGTTATATACCCACCCAAAGTTTTATGCTAGATCAAAAAGTAGTTGAAATTTCAGAAAAGTTTTACTTCTTTCGTTAATATTCAAGAAGAAACAGACCTATACTTATTATATATCAGCATTAGACTTTATTTTGTAGATTGTAAATTTTGTAAATTTGCCCTACAATATCAAGCATTAATTATTTTAGGCAAAACATGAGTACGGATATGCAAGATTTTCGTTAAATTGCCATCAAAACCTTGTCAGTGTCAGTGATAAAGTTGTATTATTTTTATATCTTTTTAATAAAATTTTTCAACTTTTCGTGTAGAGAAGAATACTTACTTATTTTACATACATTTTTAAGATGATGAATTAACAAAAAAGAAACTGACGATTTGTGACGATACATTGTGACGAAACGGTCCGAGATACGTGGCTGATACACGGCGGATGAAGTTGATCGCGTCAATGTATACGTAACAGACACTTTAAACATTATGAATACACTATCGACTATACGTAGCCATTGTCGTTTTATTTTCAAACCTTATCTATCCTTTTCTTTTTTAACACTCAAACACTATTTTAATTTTCAACGTTCAGTACCCCTCATTACATCGGGAAATTCATATTGCTACGTTTAGAATTGTTCGAGGAGTGACATTTATAGCATATCGATACGATGATAATAGAGAAAAAAAGACGCTGAAAGAAATGTCCATTGATGTAAGATGAGACAGGATTATCGAAGATTGAAAGCTTATCGAAAGAATATTCGCTATCCAGTCAAAGACTACGTGGATCAATTATTATTTCTCATCAAACCAACTAATGAAAATATATCGTGATAAAAATATATCGTAAAGTTCTACAAACGCAAATGGTGCGGTAATTTTGTGGTGCTTTTCGCTTTTTGCGAAAACATGCGTTTACGAAAATGCAAATTTATGTGCTAATTAAAAATGTTCAAGGTCAACCAGAGTGCGACATCAAATCGTACGTAATAACTAAATATTCGCGCATTCCTAAATCGTATTGTACAATTCTCAAGTTGAATCGCGTGACTCTGAACCGTGTGAAAGCGCGTAGAAAAAACGAGCATCATTTAATAGTGCCAGTATGATGAGGAGTCGCTTCTCGTTCTGAAATGGCAGTATCAGGTAATTCTTAAAAAATTTTCTTTACAATTCCTCTTATTTCTTGCATCGTTAATTCTTTGTACGCGGTGAAAATGGGAAATTATTGTTGATACTTGAAGAAATTGAAATCTGAAGATATTCTATCTAACTTGACTTGTAATATCCGTAAAATCTGCAACAAGTACATGATAGATTATGCGGTACGTCGATTCAATATATTAATGTATAATATATCGTCACTGTAGCGTTATCAAAAAATAAGTTAGCGTAAACGCAATTCTTCCGTGCAAGCGAATATTTTTACTAAAAGCTAACTAAATCTTACAAGTGCAAGATGAATGAATGTCTGGAGAGTTACATATGATGATAGACCATTGACACCCACGGACTTCCGGCTTACACGATTATCGTTCGACCAATCTTGTGCAATTTTGCAATTGGCTGCGACGGAGTTACAAACGCGAATGTGATATCAAGCCTTGTAAAATAGATTCCTCCCTTCTCCGACTCGACCACGTTATTTTACGTTACGATGTATATCATTTCGGTAAAAGCGAGTAAAAGAAGGAGAGAAATTGAAAACTAATATTACATCGAATAAATTATAACAGAGTCTTTCTTTTTTTTTCCTCTTATTTTTAACGCTGACCTTCATTGCCCGACGATATGTACTTGTTTTCATTTCTCATATGTTTTATAAATGATGTATGTTACAACTTCTTATTACACACAATTACATAATCTCCATTATTATATAATAATAAACTTCCTATTTAATTATTTACATATATGACACATCTGACAATGAGATTAGAAATTAGTCGCAAATATTAAAACAATTTAAAATTATATTCTTCTCATTGTTTCATAAGTGATTTTTGCAAAACAGTTACGTACGTATTATTCTCTCGATTTTTCCGTTCAATTTTTCGCTTCCTTGCTCTTGAATTTCTTTCTTATTCTTCCGATCAGTTACGTAAGTTATCTCTACCCTCTCTTGATCCTCCTATCGCAATTCCATAAGTTCCTAAAGAAACGGGGAAGGAAATCACACGTAGATCTAGCTCAACCCTCGTCAAGAAACGTGATATAAGGATTCCCTTTTAAAGAGAAACATTCTTCATTACACAACCACATATTTATTAAGACCATTTAACATCGTTCTGTACGTTTATACTTAGAAATTTACTATTTGCAGACAGATTTATTTACACATATAAATAGATAAGCAGGCAGTAAGTGTCTGGCTCACTTTATTCTCAATCAAATTGTATTTTCCATTTATCAGTGAAATAAAAAATATTGTTAAATTAGAAACATTTTTATAAATTCATAAGAACAATGTGAAATTATTTTGCTCTGAAATTGTTATTTAAGCAAACACTTTTTAAAAAGTACACGTTGAGACCTTTCGAAAGAGCAGATATTTTTGATTCCAGAAAAATATATTCTTCATTAATGAGTTGGCCGTTCTGGAAAACTTACTTTTTTATAGTACTATGTGCATATCGATCGCCATTGGTACTATTCATCCGTAATGACCAAGTTCAACGGCGGCCTTCTTCAACACGGGAGGGGGTTCTACGTATAAGATCGAGTATACGTATATGACACTGTTAAAACGAGGGAGGCCACGAGGATGCGAGTGTGCGGGGTCAAAAATGATCGTGATAATCACTCAACGATGAATATCCATAAATAGCCATAGTCGGCGAGCGGTTTATAAACAGTTAACGCTGAAAGAGAATGTCGAAGCTCTTTGAAAATGATTGTTCACGTAGGGCACCAGCGAGCCTAATATGAAATTTTTATTTCTTGTAATAATCAATGTTAATAATATTATATATTATATTTCATTTCCAACATGATAAAAGGAGGGAGTATTTTTTTATAATTTAACAAATTTAACAGCATTTTATGAAAATTGATCCAATATTGGCAATTTCTTTCGATAAGCTCTTACTTGTCTGTACAAATTCAATATTAAAAGGACAGAGGCAATGTTGGAAAAAAGTTTCAAGACTCATATGTAAAACATGACGCGCGTGTGTGTGCGGGGGGGGGGGGGGCACGATAGCTTTAATATTACTTCAAAAGAGATAATATCTTGAAGGGGAAAGTTCTCAGACGTCATGTCTCTGGTACAAAATGGAGTTGTCATTCTTGGGCAATAAAATAATAGAGGCGAGGAAACTCGTTTAAAATTAGATTACGTTAATTCACGTGTTGGTCTTTATTTTGACCGCTTTATCATTAATCCGCAGCAGCGATTGCGTTGTAACGCGGGATAACTAAGACTACTTGATCTCTACAGCCACTGTGAACTCGGCTTCGCTGTATTAGGATATGTGTAGATGAAACAGGATCTAAGCGCAAACCTAACTAATTGTAAGCTATACTATCGTTGGTTTAGCTTTACGATCAGAACTGCTTTGGTCAAACAGCGATAAACATCTGCATGCGTATCAAAGCCGAAATTAACCCATGTTCTCACTTTGAACGCCGATACTTGAATCTTTTTCATATCCTACTCTGCATATATCCTATTCAGCACTTTACAACTTTATTTCAAACTTAGACAATAAGAAAAAGCTTAAAATGAGATTCGCTATACTTTTAGAGGATATTAGTTTACTGTCTGTTTCAATCATAATTGATTGACTTTATATTACTTTTGCGTACACTTTTACGACTTCATTTTTGCAGTGCTTCATATATGAATCCTATGTCTAAATATTCCATGTTGCCATATGATATCATACAATCTGTAATTACATATTATAATTATACAGTATATTCCGCAAATAACGACTTCATTTCGGTAAAATTATTGCTATTGTTTTAATATTACCAATATCTTTGGAATAATCTATTCAATAAATTATAAACATAATCACCATTTCATAAAGATTGTTGACGATAAAATATTTGATGAAATCAGTGAACATGCAAAATTTTCACGAAAAGATTGCAATTAAAAAACTGCTAATAAAATTAGAGTTAAAACAGAAACATTTATTAAATGGATCGTGTAATGTAGTTGAAGTGAAATTTTGGTTGCATTTTTCTCACTATTTTAAGGGAGAAACTTTTACGAGGTCGTTTGCTTGTTTCAGATATTTGAAAGAAAGGTAATCCCCTAACCGAATGAAAATACTGCTGAGGAAGTAGAAGAAATGTTAAGTTGATCTCTCGATTATGCCTGTGTGACGATTGCTCTACGTATCGAGAAAGACACGTTGTGCCAAACATTTTGATGAATTAGATTTACTAAAAATATGTCGGGAAAGTAAGCATTTACAATCGAATCGTAGAATGAAACGGGTGAAAGGGTAAAATAAAAAGCAGCAAGCTCCTTAGGCGTTGTAATGATTGGAGGCATCTCAGGGAGACGAGATGAGAGGACGTGCGAAAAGGAGAGATGTTTGCACAGTGGCAATACCCTGACGTTTGGTCGTCTAGTGAAAATTAAGAGGATCATCTTGGGCAATCGCACGTCAGGGTGATTACGGTCGAAAGACCGTGGTAGTAACACGGCTGCGCACGGTAAAAGATGAATGACAGCGAGATCTACTTATTGAACTGGGAAGAAGAGGCACACGCATTAAACAACGATCTCGGCAGGAGCTTTTATAACGCGAGCTATCCGCCGTTCAATCAGACCTATGAGGATCTCTGGGAACTCGCGACAGATCGAATCGGTCTCGCGATCGTTCTGTTGCTCTTCTGCGTAGCCACCGTTTTCGGCAACTCGTTGGTGATCCTCGCGGTGTTTCGCGAGAGGCATCTGCACACAGCTACAAACTATTTCGTGACTTCGCTGGCTTGCGCCGATTGCCTGGTAGGACTGGTAGTGATGCCAATTAGCGCGGTGTACGAGGTATTGGAGAACCGTTGGCTCTTCACGACGGACTGGTGCGACGTTTGGCGCTCGCTGGATGTCCTCTTCTCCACCGCGTCCATCCTGAACCTGTGCGTCATCAGTCTGGATCGGTACTGGGCGATCACCGATCCCTTCACCTATCCCACTCGAATGAGCAGGAAACGCGCGGCGATTCTAATTGCCATCGTATGGATTTGTTCGAGTGCGATCTCCTTTCCTGCGATAGCGTGGTGGCGTGCCGTTCGTACCGAGCAAGTGCCGGAAGACAAGTGTCCCTTCACGGCGAACCTCGGTTACCTGATATTCTCCTCGACAATCAGTTTTTACCTGCCGCTATTCGTGATGGTATTCACCTATTACAGAATCTATCGCGCCGCCGTGATACAGACGAGGAGTCTGAAACTCGGTACGAAGCAGGTGATGATGGCCTCGGGCGAGCTCGAACTCACGCTGAGGATACACCGAGGCGGTGTATCCTCCGCCAACGCCACCGACGCCAGGCATCTTTTTCGTACCGCCTCGAGCACCCCCGAGGATCTCCAAGATCTCGAGGAACCGTTAACTGCTCTTCACAACAATGGTCTCACCAGAGTGCCCTCCGTCAGGATCAACAACAAACAGCACCTAGGCAAAAATTTTTCTCTCTCGCGCAAGCTCGCCAAGTTCGCCAAGGAGAAGAAGGCGGCAAAGACCCTCGGTATCGTTATGGGTGTATTTATTATTTGCTGGCTGCCGTTCTTCGTTGTGAATCTATGGTCGGGATTCTGCACGAGGTGCATATGGCAGGAAGAAATCGTATCTGCGGCCGTCACTTGGCTCGGCTGGATTAACAGCGGAATGAATCCCGTCATATACGCTTGCTGGAGCAGAGATTTTCGTAGGTGAGTGCATTCTATTTTCTTTTTTTTTTTTAATGCAAATTCAATTTCGCATGCTCTAGCTATGACTTTTGTCTTTCGTATCGACCACTACGTTGCCACGATAATCGACGATTCGATCGAATCTTTTCAGTGAATTTATTATATACGTATAATACGTCGAAAGTAGCTTTCTGCTACGGGGGAGCAAATTCGTAGCCACGACGTGTGGTGCATCCATCTCTTTAATAACGTACACGCTCCTAATACGTTAGATACATGCATCGGGTTTGCCATTACCATCGTTCGTTCCGTTCTGTACATATGGCAAATATAATACTAGAGTATTAACGTGCTTACATGTCACTATCACGCACCGATTTATGAGCGCGGGATGTAGTTTACAATCAATCATCACGCGCTGACGTACCCGACTTACCCAACGTCACCCGATTGTCACCGTTATCCTAATGCGAATATCGGTCCCATTCCCTACGAGTCATACCAACCAACCACACGGTATTACGTTCGATCGAGCGAGCCACCAATGGTGAGGATAATTTTCGAGGAGAGAAAGAAAAGCCGAAAAAGAATACTCGTGAGATTGCAGATCGATTTTAAGTCAACTACGCGGAGCTATCTCCATTTAAAACGTATGTATATACAGTCAGGGTATATACGCCCTACCGTATATATACGGTATATATACGGTAGGGATTTCCCACGAAGACAGGAAAAGAGAATTTGGCTAGCGGGATTGTGGGTGGATTAGGCGAAGACCCTTTAGCAAATTACTTTTATTCGTCCGCGCGAAATGAGCCTCAAGTTTCAGTGGAACGGTCCGGTATTTTCTTCTCTCGCCTCTGCCGAGCGCCACCCAAAAGGTACTCGTGAAAGGCATTCATCATCTTAAATATCTTCTCGACTTAATAGCAGCTATGGCAATTGAGAGCATTTTCTTTAGAGTTTCCTTTACTTTACACTTATATGCCTCCCGATATATAGTATAAACCCTCAAACAGTTCCATCTGTGTATTATTATACAACAAAAAGTAATAATAATAATTCGAGTTGTAACACATCGTTGGGGACGCAGTTCGCTTGTGCATTGTATTTTGCCAGCAGCGAGCAATAGATTAACGCACTGATCTGTCTCAGCATGTGGACACGTTCGCATGTTAAATCGCGAATCGCGTGCGAAGCAAATTACGCTACTCGATGGGGGCGATGTAACGCTGACGTTGAATAGATCCGATACGGTTTGGCTGACGCCAAACGACGTTGTGTACAGCAATCCCACGTGTAACTATCACGCTTCACGGATATTTACTCCATGCATACAGGTAAATGTAAAATCAATAGACCGCGTGCTTTCTTTATGGAATACAAGGCTGTGAGGGCCTATCTTCTAGGTCGTAAAACGGATAGTTGGATCGTTCCAAACAAGCGGATATTATTAAAAGGAATAATTGTGACAATTTCTACGCGAAAAGGAGTCGACGATTCTAAAGGATACCTCAACAATAGCAATAAGGATAACGAATCAGTGCTGTTCATCGATAGAAAAGTAGCCACTTTGTCCGAACGAAAGAATCCGGCGCAACCCGGCTCTCGCATTGATCCATGTCCCACGTTTCCTGAAACACCTCCGCGCGCATCGAGTTAATTATAATCGGGCCGTTTAGACGGAGAGATAATCTAGATAATCCTTTTTCCAATATCTTTAATATGTAAAATTGCAGGAGTAGTAGCCAAGTGAATCTTCGTTAAACGATCAACTAGTTACGACGATTAGCGATTGTTTTCGCTAGAATAACGAATCAAACTCCTGTCAAACGGTAATAGTCCCATGTAGCCAACGTCGAATTACATCTCGCAATCCTCGCAAACAAACTCACCATTCTGATTACATTATTACGCCAACTCTGGCGCACACAATTAATGGCAAGTTTTATGTTCGGTAAAAGTTTGAATCGATCCAATTTTTAGCTTACCGTGTAATTTACCGCGATTCGTTGTTTATCTTGCGGAGGACAATACGCGCGCGAGAGTTTCTCATTAAATTAACCAAGACCTTTCGAGTATGATGTAATTAAAAGTTTCTGCAAGTATACCGAGGATGCGAATGTAGGTACACGTTCCGTTCCGCTTCAGCTGGAATAGATGTGGATTCTTCCGAGATTTTCCATGACCAAAGAAATTATAAGAAAGAAAAAGATTTTACTGACTACAGGGAAAAAATTAATTTGCAAAAGAAACAACATTTAAATTATGCAAGAATTTAAATATTATCGCATTCATGTCGTCTAAAAAGATAAAAACTTTCAAGCATAAAACGTATGAATTGGTCGCACTCAAACAAAAGCGGCATTACTGTGAAACCGGAAGAGTAATCTGCCTCCCCGAGTTCGTAAAATCTCAAATTTCACATTTTCAAACTTTTACTTCGCATTGTATATCGCGTGGATTATTTCATCTCTCTGTCAACGCTACTTTGTCTCTCTACGTTTCTATAAGCTGACATTAAAAAAAAATCCCCTACGTTCCAACAAATAATCCGTGATAAACCATGACAACAACGCACAAAGACAAGGTTGTTGCAGTGTTATTTACTATACAAAACTGTGTTTAACTACGATATTACATTTCAAACTTATTTGCTTTCTCCCAACTGGACACGATTACTCTTTCTCGTCTCTACGTATAGTTTTCTCTTTCTTTTGCGCGCGTGTGCGCGTGGGTATAATGTAGTGTAGTTGTGTGTGATAATACGAAATAAGCATGTGAGAAATTTTAACAAAAAGCTATTACAGTATATTATTATTCATATCATTTTGTCCATCTGTTGTATCAAACTCGTTGATTCAAAGACGTTGACACGATGCACTGATATGGAAAAAGATACAAATCAAGGTTAATCTGGATTTCAAAATACGGAAACAAGATTCTATCAGCAGGTGGACCGAGCGAAACCAGGTCACCAGAGTCTCATAAAGACACTCCGAATTCAGGAACAGCCGATTTTCCCTTATTGTTTCTCAAATAATCGACATCATCCATGTCTCCTTCTTAGAACAATATCTACTTGCCGTTTTCTATTCGGCATCTGGTACGGTCAATATCAATTTGTATGCAACAGTCGCTAAGAATACAAATATATAATACTTTTTTTTCTTTTACAATTTAAAAAGTAAAATATGTTATTTGAGATTATGCGAGAAAAAGTTTGGCTTGCGTCTTGTTTCAATGAATTTTACATTATTGTTAGAGATTTGATAACTAGCGATCGATAGTGCGATAAAAATTTAACATTCTTTCAACATTCTCATTCAACATGGACTAAAGTACAACTGAATGAGAATGTTGAAAGAATGTTAAATTTTTATCGCACTATCGATCGCTAGTTATC